GATCGAGCAGGTGTAGTAATATTCGCTAGGAAGCTAGAGATGGGTGTATGATAGATACAATAGCAATGATACCACAAGGCAGAACAGTAACAAAATCGCCATTCATCAAATCCCTTTCAAGTTGCATTCAGGAAATGGTTGTTGCCAAAATTGTTTGTTTTTCATTTCTTTGCAAAAACTGATTAGGTATGCAGATTGACCGTCATGTATATCTTTGTTGTAATATGTATATGTGTGTTTTTGTACGTTTCAAGCCCTTCAATTTTCAAATCATGAGGTTGAGAATATGTTTAAAAAAACGCCTCAGGGGGGAAAACATTTGCTAGGCACCACCTGTTTGAAACCCAAAGATTTCCGTCACTCCCTCCTTTTCAATCTTCCCCTCCTCTCTCTTTTTTTTGCACAATTTGCTGAGAAAAGAGAAGAATAAGCAATCGAGCAACAGGACATGAATTATGAAAAAAAAACGCCATAGCAATGCAAGTCCGCGCAGGGAATTGAGCGAGAAGAAAGAAAAAAGAGAAGGAGGAAAGAAAGCCAACGCGGGGTTTCCAATCTTCGAGCGGAGGGATGAAGGCGGGAGAAAAGGCGGGAGGGACGAGGTTTTCATTTTACAAAAACGCAAAATGTCGGCACAAAGCTTAGGACTCTTCGGTCATCTAGTCACGCACACTGAGACCTGAACGATCCGTAAACATGCGGGTCGCGATGTTCATAGCGAGTAGTTCCTGGAAGAGAAGTTTTGCCGCATAAGGGATGTGGATTTGCGAGATGCGAGTTTTGTTGTGGCAAGGGCGGCATTCGTAAAGGCCCTTCTTAAGTTGACTATTTCGAGGCACATTAGTAATTTGATCATGAGATGCAAAACAGGAGGAAGGGAAAAAAACTTACGCAATAGGACTCATCAGACCGCAAATGTCACATACGTGGACGGTGTATGCATCAGAGACAGTAAACAGACGCTCCTTAAGGAAAGCAGCGGCACCATGGGCAATCATACAATCACGTTCCATCTCTCCGAAACGGAGACCACCGTCTCTGGCACGACCTTCGACTGGCTGGCGGGTGAGAATCTGGAGGGGTCCACGGGCACGAGCGTGGATCTTGTCGTCGACCATATGGCGAAGACGCTGGTAGTATGTGGGACCTAAGAAGATCTGCGTACGCAGCTTCTTGCCAGTGTGACCGTTGTACATGATTTCGAAACCACGCTTCTGGTAGCCAGCATCTTCGAGCAGCTGGGAGATCTGATCGACGGTGACGTCGGTGAAGGGTGTGGCGTCACCCTCTTGTCCGGTGATGGCACCGACCTTAGACAGCAGACACTCGACCAAATGGGCAATTGTCATACGAGAGGGAATGGCGTGAGGGTTGATGATCAGATCTGGTGTCACTCCCTCTCGAGTGAAAGGCATATCCTCTTGGCGGTAGGTAATACCAATAGTACCCTTTTGACCGTGACGAGAAGCAAACTTGTCACCAATCTGGGGTACCTTGGTAGTCCTAGTACGGACCTTGACGAATCGAAGACCCTCAGTGTTGGTGGTGAAGAGCACCTGATCGACGATACCGTTCTCGGTACTACGAAGAGGCGTTGAAACGTCGCGCTTGGTGTGTAGAGTAGTCTTTTGACCAAGCTCCTGGGCATCCGCCGCGATGGGTGCAGTCTTTCCGATGATGATATCGTCACCAGACACACGTACACCAGGCGCGACAACACCATCGTCGTCGAGCTTGTCATAAGTACCACCCTTCAAACGGAGAGTGTCAGCACGCGTAGGTTTCTCGAACTGTTCCAGAACGTTGACACCAATGCGTTTCTCTTGTTCAGTGTACGCACGGTAGAACAAACTCCTGAAGAGACCACGATCGATACTGCTCTGGTTCATGATGACGGAATCTTCCTGGTTGTAACCACCATAGGTAGCAATGGCGACGATAGCGTTCTGTCCAGCGGGAAGCTCACGGAACTTGAGGTACTCCATTGACCTGGTTGTCGCCAAAGGCTTCTGGGGGTAGTAGAGGACGTTCATCATGGTTTCCATACGGAGCGCAAAGTTGGTAAGAGCAACACCCATGGCTTGTTTACCCATGGCAGATTGGTACGTGTTACGGGGCGACTGGTTGTGATCTGGGAAGGGAATGATACTGGCACAGATACCCAAGATCATGGCCGGATGAATCTCGCAATGGGTATAGGCGTGAATGCGAGGATCTGGCTGGGGCTTGAGACGACGAAGTCGGTCCTTGCCCTCAGTGGATCGCTCGGCTGCAGGCAAACCCATCTTCATCTCTCGCCATTCCTCCAAATCTTCGGGTGAGAATGTTATCATGGCAGTTTCTTCTTCTTCAGCATCGAGATACTCGACAACACCGTCTTGGATCAGACCTCTCCAGCCGTAGGTGGCCTGCTCGACCTCCTCTTGACTCCAGCCTTGCCGTGTGCTGGTCTCCTGTTGCTCAGCCTTGAGCTTGTTACTGATTTCCTTGGTGAAGATCAGGTGGTTTCGGTTCGGCTTTCGGATATCGTTCTCAACGACGAACAGAGGTCTCATGACACGGCCAGCATCCGTGAAGATCTTGAACTCTCGGTCACGAATATCACGAATCAAACTCATCTCGTAAGATAGAGTTCCGTTTCGTCGGAGCTCCTGCACAACTGTGACAAGTTGCTGAGCGTTGGAGTGAACACCGACCCATACACCGTTCACAAAAACCTTTGTCGCATCTGGGTTTTGGTTCTGGTCGTATTCCTCGAGAAGTTGCATGTTACGTTGCGTCATGAAGTCGATAATGGGGGATGCATCGCTACCGACACTGACGTAGCACATGAGAGACAAGTTCTTGACCAGTCCGCAAGCCTGTCCTTCAGGCGTCTCAGCAGGGCAGACAAGACCCCAATGAGAGTTATGAAGTTGGCGGGGCTTGGCCAACTTACCATCACGTCCAACGGGTGTGTTTGTTCGGCGAAGATGGGACAAAGTAGAAGCGTAGGTGTATCGGTTCAACACCTGCGAAACACCAGCCTTTGCGGAGGCGGCCTTCTTCTGATCACCCCAGTTACCTGTAGCAAGAGAGTACTTCAGGCCGTTTGTGATGATGCTGGCTTTTACAGCCATTTGGACGTTGAAGTCCTGGTTGTTTTCAACGCACCGCTGAAGGTACTTGTACACATCCTTTGTGAGCTTCAGGAAGAGGATTCGGAATAAGTTGGCGATCAAAGGTCCCGCAAGATCCAGTCGCTTCTTTCCGAAGTGATCACGGTCATCCTCATCACGGCGACCCAACACACACTGTAGAAGTCGGTGGATCATGTAACCAAAGAAGTAGGCCTTGCGGGTATCTTGACCCTCCTTTTGGGAAATGTGCGGCAAGAATTCGCGCTGCATGATATCCCTCGCAAACTTGAGACGCCTGTCCTTGGTACCAGAGTTTGCACCACGCTTGGCGATGAAGTCGAGGGCAGTCTCACGGTCCTGCACAACGGAACCCTCCTCGATACTGGGCTTCAACAGCTCCAGCATTTGTGTGTCGGTACGGTCGTAAACGATGTGGCTCAGAATCTCCTCATCGGAAACTATACCAAGCGCACGGAAGACAATGGCCATGGGCACATCTGCCTTGATGTATGGGAGGGTGGCGTATGCGAATGGACCGGGTATACGCTTGCCCGGACCGGCGAGCGAGTTTTCTGCCCATTTGATGTTAAAGGAAGAGATAAGACGAGTGCCCTTTTCGACAGCACTTCGAATTTCTGCTATCCAAGGAATAGGTCCCTGCTTCTTGCGGAAGACTTGTACAATGTTGGCGGCACTGCGCTCCTGGGCGATCAGCACTTTCTCACTGCCGTTGATGACAAAGTATCCACCCTGATCGTAGGGGCATTCGTTCAGCGCAAACAAATCGGCATCCGATTGCGCTCGCAGGTGGCAAAGCTCTGACCGCAACATGACGGGTAGCTTTCCGATGAAAACTCTCGCCGCAGTACCATCGTCCATGGGCATGTCCTCACGTTCCCACCGAATTTGTGAAGCACCTCCTGTGTATCCGCCCTCCATATCCTCGTCCTCATCGCCCTCGGGATCGCGGCCTTCACGAGCGACCATGATGCGGTTTTCGATGTCGGCCAACATGGCTCCGGAGTAGGTGAGGTTGCGAAGACGCGCCTCATGTGGATACAGCTGTACAGTGGTACCGTCTCCTTCAGTATGTGTTGGTCGTGCAAGATAGACACGTCCAAACTTGATCTCATAGCGGCGCTTGATAATCGGATTATCATCCTCGTCGGGGTTGTAGGGCGTGTTCTGTTCGAGAATGACGCTTCCGTTTTCTTTTACGATATCTTGTATTGTGTTGCGCGTGAATTCGTCATAGGAGTCCAGTTGTTGTGACACCAGACCCTTGGTGTCGAAGAAGGAGCTGATAACTGCCCAGCAGTCCTCGGGCAAAACGCGGTCGTCCTCCTCATCCTCGTAGTCGTCCATTCCGTCTTCGTACTCGTACGGCTCAGCCATGGTCGCGGCTAGATATGTGAGGCGCGGTAGGGAAAGGGTAGAGGTGAGAGTGGATATCGAGTGAGGACGTGTAGAGTCCTTGTCTGCTCTAGATGCGACAGGCGGCGACGAGTGCCTCTCAAAGAGAAGTTCGGGGCTAGTGTTTATCCGGTCTTAGCGCGCCCGCTCCACCCAGGGTTAGTACTCCTTACGCCCCACACCTTGCAAGTCTCATCCCTACAACATGCACCAATATATTCGCAAGGCAGCATAAGTGATTACATTTGGGTATTTGGAAGTATGATAATAAAACACCGGGCAAGATAGTGTCATTGAAGCAATATGGCAAGAGTTTCTTTTATCACAATGATTGTTCGAGTGTTTCTACTGGCTTCCTTCACTCATCTAAGAACATGACACACTTGAACGCTAAATGTTGAGAATATCCTTCGGACTGTTCAGATGATGTACTGTTATTTTTATTTATTTGGAAAATGGCAAGCTCTATCAATATCTAACCCTCCTGCCGCCCTTCTGTTCGCCCATCTGATAACTCACCGCCACACCCTTCCGCTCTGCATACTGTATTGCATCACGACCAGTAATCTTTACGCAATGATCTGCTATGATACTTTTGAGTGAAGGCAGCTTATCCGCCAGCATCTTGATCGAAGCTCCAGTGATGTTTGTGTTTGAGAGGTCAATGGTTGTGAGACCAGTTTCATACGTGAGAAGACACTCCACGTCATCGTCGGTACATGGCATAGTGCCTAGATCTAACGACTCGAGAGCTGGTGTAAGAACTCGTGGGGAGCAACAGAGAACGGCGTTAGGCCCGTTGAATAATGTCACTTCCGGATCGAGCAGGCAGCGGAGGGAGAGGTGCTGCAATGGTTTGCTATTAGAGAGTGACTTAAGAGCTCCGTCTTCAATGTATGAATCGAGAAGCACCTCAAATTTCTCCGGGCTGATAGAAATTCCAGATAGTGAGAGATGTGTGAGGTCAGCTAATTTAGCACGCGCCCATGGATTGGTGTTAGTAATCCTTGGTAGGAAGCCCCAATAATTGTCAAGGACGAGATGTTGCAGTGTATCGGGCAACGCAAGGTAAAGCTCCGATGATACGCGCTTCAAGACTAGTTTTGTGATTGGCGGCATTTGAGATGCATCCTGTGGCCAGCCTCGGCCTGATACATGGAAACCATCCGCATTGCAGAGTGAAAAGGACCGGAGCGAGGGCGTAAGACTGAAGAGTTTGGCAATCTCGAGTTGCCATCCACTTAACCTTTCGGTACCAGTCAGACTCAGTGTGTGGAGGTGAGGAAATGGAGTAGTCCATTTCATCGGGTGTTTGAGTGGTAAGACACCGTGGAAAGCAACGTGTTCAAGTGTGGGTCGCGCTTGGAGAATTTGCTCCACAGCATCTGCCGTTATATCTGGATGCACGGTGAGTTTCTTTAGCTTGGAACTGCTCTTGGCGATTTCGACTAATGATGCTGACATGGCATGTGGTAAGGAGAGAATCTCCACATCGGTAAGATCTTTGGCCATTCTTGCTAGATTTTTGATTACGTCCATGTGTTCGAAACGGTGGAGGGTGACGTGCGTCATGCGCATCTCTGAATATTTGAAAGCCGAGCTGACGAAGGAACGAGGCACAGGCTTACGTGCGCCCTTCAGATCAAGATGCAGCCACAGCTTAGGTAGCTTTGAGAGGTAATCTCGCCAGCCTTTGCTGACCCGCATGCAGTTGACTATGTGGCGGAAAGGTAGATACTCGAGCACCATTTCGGCCAACTCCACAGGTAGAACAGAGAACGGATCAACAGCTGTTGCTGGTGAAAGTTTTCGAGTGAGCTTGTCGTGCAGTTGTTGAAGAAGCTGATTAAACGTCAGCGGCAGCTCACAACCCCATAGCTGAGAGAATGATATAATAGAAAACGAGTTCAACGAGAATACATACTTTGAAGTTCTTGTCCTTGGATCCGACATTTTTCATTCCATACTTGTATATTCCTAATGCAGTCTCCTCTTTTCCCATCTTCTCGAGAACACTTGCTGCCCTGAGGTACCCCTTGACATCTGATTTTTGCATTCTAATCATTTCTCTCCCATCTTTGACCGCATCACTAAATCTTTCGAGCTTGTCATAAGTGGCGGCTCGGTAGTCATACAGATTGAGAGTAGGCTTCTGGCAAGTCTCGATGCCTTTTGTGAATGTCTCTAGCGCCTTGTCGTATTGTCTGAGTTTGTAGTAATTGCGGCCTAATTCTTGGAATTCCTCTGCTGACATTTGGCGAGCCATTGTGACCCTAAGAAAGGGGACTGAGTGTACGTTTAACTAGTACTGCGTAAGACACAGATGAGAGTGGTGCCGGTGGATGAATCGGGAAGATGCGACGCGACGCGACTCCCTTAATAGCCATGGCCCGTGCACCTGCTCCAGAGTACTAGTAAATCTTGGTAGACCAAAATTCCCGGATACAACTGCCTCTACCGAAATGGCGCAACATCGACCGGATACAACTGCACACTAACATTATAGAATCACACAACTTCCCTATAGCATATTAATATATATATATATATATATGTAAGACGCCAGTATTCTAGTATATAGGATAATTTCTTTAAGCACGTAGTAGAAGGTGGCTAATTGCAAACAGCAACTCTGTTTTGATAGAGCACTTTTTACTACAGTATTGTATTTCACCAAGAGAAGTATAGGTCATGACCGAGGTACTTGCAAAACGAGATCAAAGCCGACTCGGCTTCCCGTGGTTCCGGAAGCCGAAAAGAAAAACTGAAATTGAGTGATCATATTCAAAATTTACTTCATTCTATTTGTCACAACACTGCTAATTCTTATACACCTTCCTCTTCCTCTCATCTACTCCTACGCTCAAGAAGCCAGTCTACTGAGCCTCGGTTAGCCTAGCTTCCTGTCCAACAGCACTCTTGCGCGACAAAGCCATGTAATGATAGCATGAAAGCATCAATAAACTGCTACTCATCTGGAGTTCCTTCTCAGCTTGATGATATTGAACATATGCCGTTCAGTCGAATTTTGAGCTTGATGCGCGAATGCTTGTGCAATGCGTTGATACGAATGGGTATGTGAACAGATGTGTTTCGTTGATATCTCTCGCCACTATTGAAGTCAGGACTTTAGTCCGCAGGGAAATCAAAAACAGGGATGTCGAAGATGTGGTATGCGCGTTTTGGTAGACGTACCAAGGTTTGCGGACTTGAACCTTCAATCGAAGATCTGGATCGTCAGACAGACAGCGAAATCGTCTGCGTCATCGGTATGGTGCTTTGTTTCATCGATGATGACAAAGGTGACCTCTGATACTCAAGGTACTAGGGCACTTGACCGACTACCCAATCCTGGTGTTGGTGGATCAATGGATAATGGTGCGAGCTGCGGTATCAATGACTTCATCATAAATACCAGGTCGGCTGCTTTGAAGGGTTTCTGCATGACACGATCTGCCCCGGCAGCCATGGCTGTATCCATTTGTTCTTTCCGCACATTGGCCGTTACTGCAATGATGGGCAGCCTTACCGGCCGACATTCATTGAGTTCTTTCTTCCTGAATTGGCGCATCGCTTCGAGACCATCGAGTACTGGCATTTCCAAGTCCATCAAAACAATGTCGAACGTCTGTCGGTCCAAGGAATCGAGCGCTTCGAGACCATGGTTCGCTACGGTGACATCGCAACCGGCTTTCTTGAGCTGTTTTCCAAGAACTCGTTGGTTGATGATGTTATCCTCCACCAGCAACACACGTAATTGTCGAGATGCAAACTCCGTGTTTCCTACTTGCTGAAACATTTCCTTGAGTGTCTTAGGCTGGGGTTCTACTCTTCGTGTTTTGACATAGAACCCAAATGTCGAGCCCTCACCCAAGACAGAGGCGACCCCGATTTCGCCTCCCTGCTTTTCGGTAAGCTCTTTGGATATGAAGAGACCTAAACCACTGCCTCCATAATTCACGTGCGTCTTCACGTTTGCCTGCCTGAAGCGTTCAAAAATCTTGTCAATGTCCTTTTCCTGCAGCCCGATACCAGAGTCTGTTACGCTGAAACCCAAATATATCTCCTCGCCCTTGCCCCAGTCTGGGTTGCTAGTCATATCGGCAGGTGTTTCGCCGTCAGTTGCCCAGAACATGTCGCTGGGAAAGAGAGTGCGTGGGTTTGATCGGCTTGCAGCATAGCGAATCGAGACGGCTGGTTCTTTTGACGGTTTGACGAACTTGATGGCATTTGTAAGCAAATTAATGAAGATCTGCGTCACCCGAGATGGATCGAAACATAGATGATCAATGTCGAGTTCTGAGAGAGAAGGATCTGGTGTTATGCTATAAGCAATATTGTTTGTCTTCAGCTCGGCTTGGAAGATGTTAACTATGGAGTCGACAAGCTTCATAGGTTTAACAGGAACTGGGGTAATCGATAGGAGCATGGAGTCGAGTTTGCTCAGTGTAAGGACGTCGTCAATGATCCGCTTCTGGTGGTGCGCACATTGCATGATCGTGTTAGCGCTGTGTATGTTGTCGTTGAGAATGTCTAGACAGGGTTTGGGGATATCGGTAATCTGTGCGCGGCACTCTTCAAGGGCGGTTGTGATTGCATCAGCACAGTGTACAATGGCACTGAGTGGATTCCGCATTTCGTGAGAGACTACATCAATGAAGGCTTCCTGTTGTCTTTTCGCTTCTCTCGCTTCAGCAGCCTGTCGAGCCTGGAAGGACTTTGCCCAGCATAATCGGCTAATGTCTGTAGTACAAGCCATGACGCTCACCACGCTTCCATGCTCGTTGCGGTATGGGAATGCGAGGACTTGAAGCTGTGCTGGTTCTGGATCACCTGTCGGAGGCGTATAAAGTCGTTTTAAACGGAGGTCGACAGTGACTTGGTCGTCACCCTTGAGCAGACGCTCCCAAATCTCTTCTGATTTTGCGCGGTCGTCTTCATGATATGCATCGAAGAAGAGGGCGAGACTATCGGAGTGACTGGTGGGCGATTGTCCAGCTAATTCGTAGTAATAATCGTTTGCCCAAAGCATATATCCATCCAGAGAAACATGGCACATGCCCACCGACGCGTGATCGATGAGATGGCGTAGCTTGAGATCGCTGAAAGCGAGGTCCGCTTCAAGCTGGACCTGGTGCTTCTTGTTGGATTCATAGTCTACTGCAGCAGTCATGAGACTCGACACCATGCGGTTGAGGTCTCGAATGAACTGCTCGCACATTTCGTCGTGTGGACGATGGGGGTTGGTGCCAAAGATGAGGTACCCAGAGAGACGTCCACCGCACATGGTGGGCATGACGACGATCTTCTGGGACGGCGCGCCCCAACCTTTCCAGTCGACAGATGAGAAACGGTCGTCGTAATCGATAATAGTTAGGTCTGTGCCAGCTCGTCGCATGTCCGGTATGAGTCCTTCTTCACTGTCGATGGTAGCCGTGTTCACCAGAAGAGGATGACCCTCGGGGATGCCTATATGACCATGCAGCCTCAGCGAGTTGGAAACTGCTGTTTCCTCCATCCTGTATAGCATAACCATGGGCACATCTTGCGTATTCGTCTCCAGTGTGTTGAGGATGTGCGAGCAGACACTGTCGATAGAGCGTGGAGGCACCGAGGCGAGCTTGTTCAAGCATTTTGTGCGGCGCTCGGTGAGTTTCTCCGTGGTTACTTCGTAACTGGGGAGCACATCAGCTCTGCATCCAAAACGCTACCTGCGCGTCAACAGCACTACTGTCATGACAGGAGCGCATCTGGTGCGACCAGAAAAAAAAACTCACACATGATTGATGTAGCCTTCTACTACGCCAGGCATGCCTACGGGGGTAAAGCTACCGGTAAAGAAAGTTTCCTCGCGGTAGCCCTTGCGCTCGACGAAGGTCGAATGAGCCGAACTATAGTCGACACCCATGCCGGTGCTCTTTGCCTGTTTGAAATAGGCGCCAACGGAGGGCCACAGCTCTGGATAGCCATCCTGAAAGAGGGATCCCATAAGGGCAGGGTGGACACCAGCGGCGAGAGGGGCATATTTGTCGTTGTAGATGGCTGTCATGTGGGAAATATCTCCCCACCAGAGACATGCGGCGCGCGAGTCTGTGAGGACATAACTGGCAAAGAGGCGCAGCGTGGGGCTCCAAGTGTCAAGAGGGCCGAGGTGAGTGCGCGACCAGTCGGTGTTCCGGAAGAAGCGAATATGAGGAGTTTGTGGCAGGGCAGCAGTCCAGTCGCATTGTTCGTCGGTCGGGGTGATGGTCAGGGTCGCAATGTGAGGAGAGTCGATGCCTCCGTCTTCCGGGGGTGGGGTCAGCATCTGCACAAGACAGGAGCATATGCGAAGATGGCAAGGCACACAAGGGGCTGCAGCATCCTCATAGGAAGCAGAGGGCTGAGGAAGACAAGTCTGGGACCCGTTGATGTTGCAACCATCTGATGGACTAGTCCTAAGACCCGCCGGTGTTTCTCTCGGGCACCAGTAGCAGTCAGTTCCATGCATGCATGCCGTCTGCCAGGTGGGGACGGGACACGATCGAAGATGGCCTTGCAGCACACCCATGCCTGCCAAGCCCCTTCCGATCGGCCTCGTTCCGAACACCGTCGTTCCGATGCAACCTTGCCGCACTGCCGTGCCTGCCGTGCCTGTAAGTAAGTAACATGTACCTGTACTTGTACACGTACCACGTCTCTGCGCGTGGTCCTGTACATGTACATACACGCATCATTACGTACCATGTACACTACTACCAAGTACAACCAACCACCCGCATGACGCTGTCAACCACAACACGAGTCCCATCATGAAATCCATCGTCCGTCGTCCGTCGTCCTTGTCATGCTTCCCCCAAGCACACAAAGGCCCGAGTCGCGTCTTGCACATCTCTTGCATGCGCGTGGGCGTCTTCCTCCTGCACCGGCCCTCCATGGCCCTAAGCGATTGGTCGCCTGCCCTTCATCGACCGATCCTCACCAGGTTGAGCGTACGAGGCAGGGGCACCGTCGTCGCTCGACCACGTCTTTGGGCGGCTCTCGCCTTTTCTCGCAGCCTCACCGGACCCAATGACCTGATCGTCCTCGGCATCTCGCGTGTACACTGCACGCTGACACGGCCCCGCTGACAACTACACAATCGTACCACATCTGCTGCTCTTGCACAATCGCTGCCACTCATCCATCTATTGCCAAACTATGTCTCTATCTGCCAACTTAGACGTCATCTTCAACACCAATCAGGCATTTCTAGTCCGGCCTTAGTGTGTGCATTTCCTTTTTACCCCTCGCCCTAGCCTTTCCGCTGATTGTCAGAAACCGCCCTCCGATCCCGAATCGTGAGACCACTAGGATATAGCTCTGCAAAGCTTTGGTTCGAATCCTGCCTACTGCCTGCCCCAGCCCGGAAACAATAAGGCCGCCCATCGCGATACACAAGACGATACTTGGTCTCGTCAACCTTGCACCGCTGCACAGTGCGCATCGACCCATCCTCCTCAATGACCAGTGTCGAGTGCCATGGCGTCGCCCCGAGTGCACCTTTTTCTTGTTGCGGAATAACAGCCATGGACAGCTTGTCCTTTCCACCAGAATCGTGAATAGACAGGCGCACATACTGCGTAGGCACAGCTGCCATTGCAGCAGAGAAGGCCTTCCACCGACCCATCATCTCTTTTGCTGTATTTGCAATATTCGCGGCCTGGTCCTCTGGGGAGAGAGCAAGATGTCTCTCGTTCAATGCCAGGTCCTGCTTCAGAAATTCAAGATACTTGGTGTGCGTCATCTGCATGTCGCTAGTGCTAGTATTTGCCATATCTGCCTCGAACTTGGGATCGCCGTACTGTCGCTTGAGTTCTTTGCGGATATTGGACGCGTTCTCGAGATAGTATTCTTTGGATTGGAAATCTCCTGAATACTTGAGTATGTCCCACAGTCTTAAGAAGCTGATGTTGTTGAGGTTGTTGTCGGCTGCTATCTGTCGAACGCTTTGCCCAAAATTCCATACCGTCTCGTCACTCACGCCGAGAAGGTCTATTGCCATTAGTCAAGGACATACATATGTGGGGGAAAACGCGGGGTAACATACCGTTGTATACAAGACCATCAGAGGTGATATGGCATTCGGCGCCAAACTCATACACTGCCTTGATCTTCTCGCAAAGCCCATCCAGATGCTTCAGCGCAAGCTCCTCGCCTAGATCCGGCAAAACGCCCAAAACCTTATCCTTTGTGTTTGGAGACTTGAACGGAAACCCAGGAAGTAGCATGAGCACGGGCTCTTTGCGCTCAACCTGCCCTTTAACGATCGGCAGGAACGTCTCGAACCCATCCCATTTGCCAGTCCGCTCGTAGTTCAAACCATACTGTTCGATGATCTTGAGTATCTCCTCGGCTTTCGCGTCGACGCTACTTTGCGTGATTGCAGAAGACATGGTTCGTATTAGCTTCTTGGAGAAGCCGGTATGCAGCTGAACCGTGGGTTCAACAAGTACTTATGTTGCCCTGAAATTCAGCTTCTCTTTGGGGGCTGTACTTCCAAGAAGAGGCGCTGCTGAGGCACAGCTGTAAGCACGCACGAACCTATAGCCGGCTTGCAGACCGCATCGCACAATCCTTGCATCTCCAACAACATTATCTCATTTCTTCAAAATTCATTGCAGACAGATTACCGAATGTCTATGTCTTTCGATGATTGGCCTTAACTCACATGTTAAACGACAGTTATTGTTCAGAAAAAAAGCAAATTCACCCCCAGCGCAACGCAAACAAAGTTCCCCGCTGTGGCTGACCCTAGGTATCCAGCCATCCCTCCCTGTGGATGCATTCAACTACCCACACCCCCATCGCCCGATTGCTGGGACGCAGGGCAAGTCTATTTTTGAGGCTTGCTCAGCCTCGTGGATACTGTTTGGTCGACCCCTTCAGCCGCAGTGGGTCCTCGATCCCAAATACCGTTAGCACACAGGTCTAGACAATGTCCCGCGCCCATGGTAGCCAAAACATTACTTTTGATCGTGATATTTTTTTGTGCCCAATTGCCATTTGGGGTACTTGGATTGCGACTGGGAAGCTTGCTTGCTGGCAGTTTGCAGCACCGCGTTTGCGAATTGAGACCTGATTGTGAGATTCTTCTTTGTTAGGGTGTCTCACCTGAACGGGTATAGTGACTTGGCGTTCACATGGTATTTGTAGCTGCTTTCAGAGTCCACTATGCGTTTCAATCTTGTATAACATACCTGTGCTGACTACTACCATAACCACATTGTATAAAGTACTCTTGGAGTTCTTCGAGCTGCTATATAGAGGATATATCAAGACGACGTATGCAGACGTACCCATCGCGCACCTTATTATAATATTGTTTCACTATCAAATTACGACTTACCCATCATCAAACATTTTAGTCGCAGTTTTCTGTTCGATACGAGCGACTCCATATCGCTATATCTTCCCGGTTCCCTCCCTCTCGTTCGAAGCGCCCATCTTCTTCTCTCTCTCCCCATTGCCTCCGAGATCGAGACAGAACCTCGCCCAAGACTCCGAAAGACCGTTGCTACTACATGGGCTATAACATAGTTATTTGACTTTCGGCCAGATCCTCCGTGGCTTCCAAGAGTAAGAAGAAGGGGGGGAAAGTGATCGATTTGATCGATGTCCCGGAAGCCTGAGATGGTGTTGAGCGGGCTGATATCTGACAAGCGGAATTTATGAGGTAGAAGGTAGCCGTGGAACCTAATGACATGGGAATGTTGCAAGATCGTAGCGAAAAGCACCGCCAAGAACGAGTTCGCTAGCAGCGTTGGAAGCAAACATCTGGAGAACAAGGAGAAAAGAGAGAGGGAGAAGATACCAATTGCATGGTGCACATCGTAAAATTGCACTGGAAGCGTGGCGATTTCTCGTTGCTTATCGTCCCTAAATTTTGGGACGAAGCAGAGGGTACACATTCTCGCTCCGACTACTTCCACATATATCACATCACCAATTCCTACGAAACTTCTCGTATCAAAAGAGCAGCAGAGTATTTTATTTGCTATAAGAACTATCACTTACCTTACCTGCGAGAAATGGAAGCTCGACTAGCTTGGGACCTCATACCTACTTGTTCAGGAACACCTCGAGTTACTGTTCCCGCTACGAAGTCCCTTGCTTCTCAAGTCTCGCTCTCTCCTTCTCGTTTTTTCTCTGCCACTCTCTTTCTCTCGCCCTCTCCTCTTCCCTCTTCTTCATCTGCGCATATACAAATACGCTCTCATCTACCTCCCCAGACTCCTCAAGCTGCTTCTCGACCTCTTCCTCTTCCGCCTTGGACGCCTCTGCAATGACTTCCGTCTTCGTCTCAGGAGAGGCATTTGACTCCTCGCTGCCTGGTCTGTTGAGCTCCCATCCGTACACGGGATAGCCCTTTCGCAGCTTGTCGAATACCTTGCGCATCTCGTCGTCCCAGTGCTTTTTACACGCGGTCGACATGACCATTTGCTGCAGCCCGCAGCGGTACCACCCGTGAGACTCGCTGTACTCCCAACAGGGGCAGTAGCTCTGGTGCATCAGGTCGCCGTAGCATTCGGCGGTTCGTGCGTGGTTGACGCCTTGGCTACAGTGGTGGCGGACTGTAGTTGAAGCGCCAGTGCGGATGTTTATCACAGCTGTGGTCCAGTTTAGCGCGTGGATGTTGGGGCCGTGAACAAGACGGTTGAGGTCTTTCATGCTGTAGCTGTTTAGGAGCTCATTGGCCTCAAAGATGTGGTAAGTGTGCTTACCGGTTTGGTCCACCATTTGAGAAACAGTGTTCTCCAGCCTTGAGATCTGTTGTCCCTCCATTGTGTATTTGTCTTGGTTTTATTAGGGATTTGGTTGAGTGGGAAGGATGCGGTACTGGTTCTCGGCTCTAAAATTGGAAAACGGTATTTGGAAATGCGTGAGAATCTTGCTATGTTGAACTGGTAGTAGACGATACTGAGAAGTGTGAGGCTTACTGTTCAAGTGGGATTTCATATAAATATTTGAGCTCCTTTCTTCACAATGTTGTCTGCGTGATAACTCGCGGGGCAATATCTCCAGCTTTTGCTCACTCCATTGGCTGAGAATGGCTCGGCTGCGGTGAAAGTCATGTTAGAAGTCTTCTTTTGGGCGAATCAGGTAGCTTTGACCATTGGACTGTGTTTGGTTTATGTACAGTGTGATATAAACATGAGGCATAACTAGTTGCATTACTAATATTAGGAACCTACGGACACGACTTGGTGTACTCTATATAATCAATCATGCGCTTCATTGTAACGATGATTTGTCACTGTATTCTCATGCTTAGAGGTATACTTGATATTTTCAAATGATACTTATTACTGCGACTCCCATGAAAGCAGCGTGTCATGTCATGGTGCTTACATCGTATGAATCACGATCCTGACCAGAAACCCATGTCCAGTAAACAATCATTATGTATCGTAGTTCGCGTTTCTGTTTTCGTGATACAAGTCCAATCTCCTTAGAGTCTTACATGACAATAGCTTAAGCTGGAAAGCTAACAGCAAAGCAACACCATTACAATCCCATTAAGACCAAACGTTTGAAATCATCAAGAAAGGAATTACCACCAAATTCCAAAGCTAAAAATACCTACAACGCCAAAAAACTTCCCATACATACCAGACAATATAAGCCTTTTAGATCGCTTTTCTCTCGCATTCTCACCACCTTAACCGCCCCCCCCCACCCCCCCCCAATAACCTTACCCATCTCCGAACCCCGAAAGCCAAACAACTAACCTCTCCAACCTCACCCCCTGCACATCCATCTTCTGCACCTCACCCAGCGCAACCATCCACTCCCGGCCATCCCTCCCCAACTGCACCGCAGCCTTCCTCTCCCTCTCCTCCCTCTTCAACTCCCTACCCACATACATTTCCACCGCCCACGGCTTCGCATGATAGAAACTAGTATTCGCCTTTCTTGACCCCTCGACGGACGCCCACGCTCCAGGCGCGTAGGTTGGATGTCGTCGGAAGTATGCGTATTTGTGGCGCTTGTGCTCGGCGGTGGTGTGGATGGAGTGCGGGGCGGTGGCGCAGGTGCGTGAGAGGGATTTGAAGGGTGAGGGGTTGGCAGTGGAGAGGTGCTCCGAAGAGATGGTTGCGAAGGGGGAGATGCGGACGTGTTTGCGGTAGGGGATGGGGTTGGAGGGTTTCGGGGCGATGAGGGTGCGGAGGGCTTGGAAGACGGATTTGGGGGGGGGGTGGTCGTGGTGGTTGTGAGGGAGGTTGATGAAGGTGTGGTTCCCGTCTCTTGTGTGTGCGAGGATTGCTGAGGAGATTGAATTGGGACGGGTGAGAAAGGAGTGAGGGTTTGCTGCCAGGTGTCGTGGAAATCGATTTGTGGTGGAGCTATCGGTGAGCTTGCGATGGGGTGGGGGACGGACAATGACTTGGGTTCTACAAGTTGCCATCCGGGGAGGTCTTTGTCAGGCGGTCGAGCCGATACCGACCTGGCTTTTTCTCTTATAGCGCTCAGTATCATCTCCCTCTTCATTGTATTTCGTACCCAGTTCATGAATACTCTTGCACGTTCCCTATCCTCTTCTGTAGGTACAGGTGTATCCGGCCCTCTAACATATCTCAGACCTGGCACTCTACCCAGAAATATTTTTTGGTCATCCCATATTTCCAGTGCTTCGCTCAGCCTTGCCATGTCTTCAACTGGCAAGCCGGGCTTGTTGAGCAAGCTTTCAAACTTGATGATGGTATTTGCCAGTGCAATCTTCGTCTTTTTCCAGTACCTTGTAGCGATGACGTGCTTTTTAACGTCACCTGAACTGGACATGAAGACGCCTCCACGCGTCAGGAAGTGATTCTGGGCCGCTCGAACTGCAGCCATTTGAGAGGTGATTACACATACTGGACAGGCATTTTGGGATGATGGAAGCTTGACCACAAGGGAAGACGAGACAGTATGTGTGCAGTCACCGATCATAGCCGCGGAGTTGGTGATTTCGGTCATTTTGCGAGAAAGTGGAACAATGTTTGTGAATGGTGGATGAAGAAAAGGTATAGTGTTGGAAAGATCCCTGTGGCAATTCGAGAGCGAGCTGGTGTGTACTTATACTGTAGGTTCTCTGGTTCATGCATTGAGAAAGTGCATATACGTGACGTATTCAAGATATGAAGCGGTATAACGTTTCTGAAGCTCCACGTGGACCAAACGTTGCTATTGAGGCGCTGGGCAAAAAACATCGCATGGTAACCGCAGCACGTAAAGACCTCGTTGCAACCAGCCTTTGAAGCATCCCGTGTCATATACACGCTGTGAAGACTGCAAAAGAGAGACGATTACAATAGCTTCTTGCGAATGAATCTGTCGAAAGATGTACTTGTAATACATGATGATATCTCGTGGCCGCACGAGACACCTACCATGCGCTCAAATTTTCGATGCACCAATAAAACTGCTGCCCGCCGTATGGCATCACAACATCTATTACAGCAGCCATTGCGTCTCTTTTCCTGTTATCTGGTGGTTGGGGTGACTGAATGAAGGTATTTCACATGTTTCCAACCCGACGTATAGGATTTACTGTGGAGGTAAAATGGGTCAAGCTGCTCGCCTTCTTGATACGACAGTCCGGCGATGAGTTATTGTCTCCAAATACAATGACTGAAATTGGGTTTTCACGTCTTTTGGTTGGCTTACCCAGCAGGCTTACCTAGTCATTGGGTTATCCAATTATCGATAGCAAACCCACCAACCAAAAGGAACAAAATTCACGCCAACTCGCATTAGAGTCTCATGAATATATGGAGCTGTTGAGTAATGAAAAGAATCCTGGCTATGGGTTATTGGCATCGGCCCTTGTTTCGCCACGTTGCATAGTACCATGTTGACACGGTTTGAAGGAAGCGGCTTTGTGTTGAGACGGCCGTGATAAAGTGAACACTATTATTCACCTCATGGCTGAACTCCGTGGATATGTAGGTGCGGAGAATCTGTAGTCTTAGAGCAAAGCTTAACATGGACAAGAAGCGGAAAAACGGGAAGGATGTCAACGCGTGTGCGTCATCCCGGAACGCGGAACCACGTGCAACATTGCCAAGTTCACAACGCCACCACCCCTATCTGCTTTGCCCAAACTCTTTATAGCCACTTGAGCTGCAAACCAATCCATCTCTATAGCTGTGTCAGCGCGATGCCGCAAACACGCTCAGGAAAATCTAGAAACCAGAATGACAAAGTGCCACAACATGTCCAAAGCGACAGCGATGGCCCTGAACCTGACGACACACCAGCAGCACCTCCGTCATCATCATTTAAAGACCAGCTGAGCAGCTACGCGTACAAGGAACAAGATATGACATCGAACGAGGTCTCGGCATCGACCAATTCCGACCGACCGAGAAAGCGCCCTAGAACGGCCACCATAGCATCTGTCGGAAATGCCCAGGGATCTTCCCGACAGCCGACAAAGAAGCGCAAGGCGGGCCAATACGCCCTTCCATCAAAATACGCCCATTTGTCTCCACTCGTTGACATATTAGAATCAAATCTGATATGCGTATTTGTTGGCACCAATCCCGGTGTTCAAACTGCGACTGCTGGGCATGCGTACGCGCACCCGTCAAACCACTTTTGGAAGCTACTCCACGCGTCAGGTCTGACAGATCGCCGCTTGAAGCCTGAAGAGGACCGCAGTCTTCCAGCCCTGTACTGCATGGGCAATACAAACATTGTAGACCGGCCATCCAAAAATGCGGCTGAGCTCTCGAAGGAAGAAATGTCTGCCGGTACTGCCAACCTAGATGCAAAATTCCTAAAATACAAGCCAGAAGCCGTTTGTATAGTTGGCAAGGGCATCTGGGAGGCAATATGGCGTTACCGCTATGGCAAGAACCCCGGCAAGAATGAGTTCAAATATGGCTGGCAAGACGAGAAACACAACATGGGCAAGGGTCCGGAGAACGGGGAACAAGAGTTGGATGCCAATGGCAATTCCTGGAAAGGGTCCAGGGTTTTTGTGACTACCAGCACGAGTGGCCTCGCTGCGAATCTGACACCTACCGAGAAGGAGATTATCTGGAGACCATTCGGAGAGTGGGTGCAGAAGAGAAGAGAAGAACGAGGCTTCGTGCCCCGGCTAGTGGAAGCCCAATCTGCTGTTGAAGAGCCAGCGCAACTTTAACCATCTTTGAACAAGGTCTTAGCTAGAAGGTGTCAGCCGAGACAGAACTCAATCAGCTGTCAAGATAATGCCGCCGAATGCATGTACCCGCGGGGGGTTTCAAACTCATATGCTTCGCCGGAATCGCCCTTTCAGCCATGGGATGCAACTGCTATACGTTTTACGTCTTGGTGCATGACTTTCAAATCACCGACACTAATGGTCTGCGCCACATGTAAATGATTCGCATAGATTCGTGAACAGCTGCCCTCCATCAACATTCTCACTTGCGTCTCGTGGCTCTAACTTGAATCAACTTTTCCGATTCTTGGCGAAATCTTGGCGGATGAAAGTTCACGGCTTGGCGTTGAACCTGACCGAGCCAGTTGCATTAACGCCGCAATTGCACCGCCATAGTATTGGGTCCCAATCATGCTGCGCCTCCTGGGTGTGGCTCAACAACATGACGAAGAGAAGCACATACCTACAGGCAAAAACACATGATAAAAGTGCTTCTTCTGTCAACGACCCTTTCGTGGCTGGAGATGCCAAGTGAACAGGACTTAGGATGACTGAGCCACGGCAAAGCAATTAGCCTCGTGTGATATCGCTAGCTGCAGATGTAGCGCCACAGCTAAACTGAAGTGGGCACTAGCCTACGGAACAAACGGCAAGCATGCATATGTGAACGACACTTCATGCAACACAGGTTTCCGAGCAAGCAATCTTACTGTCAAGCTACCCACAAAACGACTATGTGCTGGTTGAATGGACCGTTGAGCGAGAAAAAGAAATTGACCAATGTTGTACTCTAACAAAGTAAGATGGGAAATTTGACTAGCAACGTAGTGTCCGAAGATGCAACACCGGCTCCGCTCACCATCTGTGTTCTATACTACGGCGTAAGCACATACGCGAGTTCGTGCGCCTCCTCCCAAGACAATTGCATACGCGTAAAGACAAGGATTCTGCATCTACCGTTCCACTCCAATGTCTCATGGGGCCTGAGCAGCTGCCACACGCAGGCGCCCAAAGAGCAACACGTATGTGGCGCCGAGCAAACCACTCATCCGCCTTTTTTAGGCTCTGCAAATGCCTCTGGTTAAGCTGTGCACTGTGCTACTAGTGGGTATGTGCACGCGCGCGCGCAAAAAAGAGCGACAGTCCTATTGCCCTTTTCGCGCCGCATCCGTCCTATCCGTTTACCGAGCATGTTGCGAAGGGCGGCAGTGCCGAAACAGCCAGTTAGAGTGGCTGGTGTGCAAGAAGTCAAGAAGGAATACGGGGGGCCGCTTATCCTTGCCCCCTTACTTATACTATTCATCTAAAGCGCTTGTTGTGCTGTGCCACAAATAACTTTGGAGACCCTCTCTTCTTTCCTCTGCCACAATCCTCAACGCCTCACGGTTTTGTTGCACTCGCCTCTTTTCTTTCGAGCCACAACACACACACCAGCCACAAAACCAAGCCTCTCGCGACTTTCTTAATTCAACGTCACCACATACCGCGTTCATCGCAACATTCAAATCGCTCCGCGACAACAAATCAAAATGAGTTATCCCCAGCAACAACAGATGAACTATGGACCTCCTCAGCCTGGATACGGACCTCCTCCCCAGCAACCCGTACGTTTCCCACTCTTTTTCTCCACGAAAATATATTCATAACGTGATTTTCGCGCTCTGCGTAAATCGTAAAAAGCGCTATAGAATAGTATGCTAATTATTTTCGTGTATAGATGTACTACCAACAAGCACCTCCACCACCTCCACCAGCGGAAAAGAAGGACAGGGGTTGTCTGACTGCTTGGTAAGTTTCTTTTTACCTCTTTCCTTCCCTTAGGAACCCCGAAACAAAATCAAATGAAAACAAGAAAACTAACGTATGCTAGTTTGGCCACACTCTGCTGCTGCTGGCTCTGCGGTGAAACCTGCGAATGCTGTCTCGACTGCCTCGATTGCTGCGACTGCTGCTAGTTCCCCCCCCCCTTGTCGAATTAATCCATGGCGCCCTGTCCGCGCGAGGTTGTCAATGCGATTCTCCTCTTGATTTTTCCAAATCGATGCGCATGCGATATGATGGGATTTGGTATATGCTGGGATGAAAGGGAAAGGAGATGGGAAGGGTGCGCACTGAAGGAGGGGCACGTGTACGCGCGACACGGGATGTGTATGAGATATGAAGGGGGAAGAGATGGGGGAGGAATAGGTGGATTGGAGTTTTTGTCTCTTCTTAGCATACAGTGCGTGTGTGTGCTATGGTTGCTGCGCTTTCTTTCATTGCGCGTTGTTGTTGTTTACCCACGCAAATAGATTGGCAATGACTTTGGATAATGGATTTGATCTACTTCCAAGTTTTTTTTATGAATTCACTTAGTGAATGACAGGACAAAGCAGTTCCATTTGATCGATATACAAACTCGCTCCATGTTAGACGCAAGTCTTACAGTCAATGAGAAAGGAGATTCAATTGAAAGAAGAGGAAAGGAAAACCACAGCGCTTAGTCCTCGTAGGCTTCCTCAAGCTCCTCTTGGTACGCTTCTTGAGCCTCGATGAGCTCCTGGCGCTTCTCCTCCAAAGACTCACGGTCACTACTTGAGATGGAGGAGCCATCTGCGTCGTGAGTAGGAACTGGTGGAGGCTCTTGGAAGGCTGCAGCGTTTTCATAGGGATCTGATGGAGGGGGTGCACCATATGGAGCGCCGCCGTAAGGCGCCGCGGCTGGGGCAGCGGCTGCAGCAGCCTTGGCTTCGTCGTCGCTATCATCAGCTGGTGGGTGTTAGTTGTGCGACAAAGATTTGAAAACGAGGGAGGGAAGAGAAACATACCAAGTTGGTGGCCAATAAAGGCACCAGCGGCGATACCTCCAATACCGGCCGCGGCCAGCATCGCAGTGGAATGACCCTTCTTTTCCTCCTTCTCGTTGGTAGCTTGACCAGAAGGAGTATAGTCGTGTCCCTGGTGGCCGTGGGTGTTTCCGAACAAGCCACGCTCATCGTGACCAGCTGCGGGCACGTAGGGTGCGCCGGCAGCGGGAGGAGCGTATGGGCCTGGTGGCAGGTGGGAAGGCGGGTCCCATTGTGTACGTCCAGTAGCTTGCTCAATGTAAAACCAGCGTTGGCTGTTCTGGTCCCATTGCTGGGTCCAGCCAGGCGGCATTGGGGGAGGTGCGCCATAGGGCGCTGGTGGGCCTACTGGTGGGGGTGGACCCTGGCCGTACGGCTGTTGCTGAGGGTAGCCCTGGGGTGGATAACCCTGGGGCGGGTAACCCTGACCCTGAGGAGGGTAGCCTTGACCCTGAGGAGGAGGATAGCCTTGACCTTGTGGAGGATAGCCTTGACCTTGGGGCGGACCACTGTTTCCATAGTATGAATCGGACAGTGAGCGGTCGCCAGGGCCAGCACCACCAGGCGCGCCGGCATGCGAGTCTTTATAACGTTAGGATTTGGATCGCGGCTGTGTTTACAAAAGCATGTTTACCTGATGGCTTCTTGTCGTCATCGTCCAACAGCTCCTTCATCTTCTTCTTGAGGAAATCCATAGTGGACAGGTGTTAGGAAACAACAAGTAAGTGAGCAGTTGCAAGGTGAGAAAAGGATGATGAAGAAGAAGAAGAAGAAGTCTGAAGTTTGAAGTTTGTCGTGTGAGCGGGGGCAGAAGAAGGGCTTTAAAGCAAAAGAAAGTGGGCACTGCTGGATACCAGCGGGGCGTCTGATGGCAGCCTCTGGGCACGCATAGCTCCACGGGGCATAGAAGCATGGGAGCAGACTGCTCAGGGCGTACACGGTTGGCGACATGCACAGGAGAGACAAAGGGCACCAAGCAGAGGGGCAGACCTCATCCGACGACTCCATTGGCAAGCGGGTTGAAAAGTGGGGGGATGAACCGGCTTGCTACTTGCGGAGGCTAGCTTGGATCCCGTCTGCTGTGAGGAGTGGATTAGTGAGACTTGGCGATGTGTATGTGAAAGTGTCTTCGGTATTGGGTTTCTGCGGCGATTGCTTATGCCAGAGAGCAATAGCACGGACGCGCATCTACTGGCCTGTGTAGGCCTGTATAGGATTGTGTCACCGAGTGTATGCTTGGATGGCAGCCAATGGCAGTTTTCGATTCTATCGGCTGGCGGGCTTTGGGTAACAGGAGGTGCGGGATTAATGACATGTTGTAGAGGGAGTTGGGCGACATGGGTTGGTGTGAAGAAAGGCTTGGTGTGGCCGATGGAGTGAGGCTTAGCGATGCATGCGCCATTGATTAATCTGTATGTATGTATACCCAGCCACGGCTGCCACAGCTGGCCAGTGGCGAGGCAGGTGCAGCCGGCGGGAAGTCACGATGGACGCCGAGGGGCGTTGGGGGCTGACTAACGGGCGCGTACTTGCGATACAAGCCACATGCCCAAGCCGTTGCAGCAGATTCCAGTGCTGTGGCCGTGGTATGTCGCATCATGGGGCGACAGTGGCCAGTTGACAGCGCCGCCTCGCCTTGGACCCAACAGGCGTGACGCGGTCAATGGACATGAACAGATACATGTACATACATACTGTGGCCTTGTGGACTGGATACGGTCATTGGTGCCTGGACAGTGTCAGTTTTGTGTTGGCTCGTGGTACTATGTGGGCGTATGGACAAAATCGGGACGACAAGTGCCCCGCCACACGAGACCCTGGAGTGCGTGCGTGCGTGCGTGCGGGACGGTGCGGTGTCGCACGTGGGAATGGCGACCATCGAGGCTGCTTCGGGAACATGGGAATTGTCGTGATTAATATGCAAGACCAAAATCAGATATGCTTAGGGCCTGGTGTCTAGCTGCAGGCTGCTCACAGCAGCAGCGGATTATTACATGCAAACTGACAGTGCTGATCTGGCGTTGGCAGCGCCGCGGGCGCAATGATGTCATGACCTCGCGACCTGCCAACAGTGACACCCCGGCTTCAACGCCGCCCCCCTAATTATCGGCTTCCTGTCAGCCAGGTTGGTGTAGTAGGGCATTCTCAAATCCCATGTGTCCCGTCATCGCAGAGCCGCGACTGTGGTTGCGGCCACGATATCCTTAGATGGCACCTAGAAACGTCGCGCTAAGCGTGCGCCTCATCCAAGCCATCGTCGATGCGAATGCGATTCCCGGCCTGGCTAAAGAAGCAAGTAGACAGGTAAGCGAGATCTGCGGGCCATGATGGACTGGACTCGTTTTGGCTCGACGCCAGCTGAGGCACAGTCTATACTTACACTTGCATTGTCTGCGTCGTCTTGTGTCGCGTCCCAAAGACACCACCTCTGCTGCATCACTGCCTGAAAAAGTAGCGCCCTAGAAACCGTATTTGCGCCTCTGCATCTCGCCGTCGTCACACATCTTCCTCGGCGGGGCTGGTACGTGTAGCGCAATACGTACGCTAGCGACGTCAATCCCCTGGCCTCCATGCCGTCGACCTGAATGTCATCGCGGTCCAAAGACGACGACACCGACGACGACAACACCCGTCCTCGACGTTCACTTTTGTAGCGAGACGGATCATCCAGGGCGCGACAACGACCCTTCGCCTACCCTGCCCTGCCGCATCCCAGCACCACTACGTATGAGGGAGCCGCGCTCGATCTTCACAGGTACAGGGAATGACTCGACGACGGCTCTTGACCGCACGCCCGATCAGCGCCAACTAGACACTTGCCAACAACACCACTTTGTCGCAAAAACACCAGACCCACCGTCTGTCCCCCTCAACTCCCCCTTTGAATTCCCTGATCCCCACGACCCATGGGCCCGCCTGTCCCCAACTCCTAGCAACAACCACCACCTACACCAGCGGTCGGGCTCTGCGCCGCTGCAGCGCCGCCCACCACACAGCGGCACGCAGCCAGCGCTCGCTCCGCCTGCCATTGCTGGCATCAAACGATCTCCCCCGTCCCTCGGCGACTACCCTCTGGCCTCAATCTCTTCGCGACTGGCCCCGCCCCAAACCGAGCCCTTGCACAAGCGCCGCAGAGCCCTCCCTCCTCTACGCTATTCGCTCGACCGCTTCACTCTCTCCAAGACTGCCCAGACTCGTCTCCCCACCGAGCCTTTGTCGCCGCTCTTCTTCTCCTCGCGAACCATCAGACTCAACCTGCCCCCGCGCTTTTCCAGCTCAGAGGCGGCAGCAAGCATGCTTAGCAAAACTCACGAAGAAAGCAGCATCAAGACCGTCACCCTTGCAAGAGGCACCTATAGTGGCTTGAGCCCGCCAGGGCCTCCGCCCGGCGCAAGTGGAAGACCGTCGGAGCGCTCCAGTCTACCGCGTACAGCATCCCCGGATTCGCGAGAAAAGAGCGACCCATTGCGGGTCCTGGCATCCATTGGCATAGTCGAGCTGCTCGAACAAGATGGCCGACCGACTTTTGTTGTCGACATTGGCGAATCTATAACCCGAACCCCACAACCCACCACTTTGCAGATACTCTTTGCCAACAGTGCACTTCGATCAAACTCTTCAGCCTGGGAGCTGGTGGCTGGCAAATCGTTTGCATCCACGCCCCAAGACTCGGCTGTAAATGCAACACATCAATTTCGTACCTGGCTACTGGATCCAACACGCCACAGGCAAGACAGCGATGCTAGTCCTCTTCCAGTGGATTATGGCGGGATTTTGTGGTCGTGTTTTACCCTACGGAAACGATTCCGCGTTGTCTCGGGCCATGTACCGGCCCCTACAACAACCCTACCCTCCACGGACGTGCCCGATGTAGCTGCCATGCCTATGCTATCAGCAGTAGCTCATGCATCAGGCAATGGTGCTGCTTTCACATCACCTCCGCCCCGTATTGATGAAGCACAAGATT